GACTTGGCCAGTCTGTTAAACTTGACCTTGAACAGGGCTGTGCCTGGGAGAGAGTGAAAGCACAGGGGGAGTTTTAAAGGAGGCGTTCTGTCATGTTCCAGGAGAGAGGCGGAATGTAAGTGCCTAGCCACTGCCAGGATGGAACTCTGGAAGTGTGACATACTGCTGGAAGCCACCAGATCTGTCTTGGGAAAGGCTCAAGTGCATTGTCCTTGCATTCTTCTGCCTGCAAAATGGGGCTGAGCAGCAGATGCCTCGCCGTGTCCTTCACAGAGTTGCCTTGGCTCAGAGGTCCAAACTCTGGATTCACAGGGTCCGGTTACTAGTGGGTAGAGTGCAGACTTCATCAGACCCGACACTTTGCAGTCCACCCCCTTAGTGGGCAGCGGGTGGGAGCTGCTGGTATGTGGGGCTTGCCCTTGAGACGTCTGATGGGGTAGTTCAGGAGCACCAGATCCTCATGCCTAGCCAGCCCCAGATAACTGCTGGCACAGGTGGTCAGTGTACTCGCTCTGGGAAACCAGGCCCCAGGCTGTCTAGAAGGCTGAGTCCAGGAGGACTGCAGGGTCCTGGTCTTCCTCTGTCCATCTCCTTGTTCTTAGTATCCAGGTGTTTTGTTTTTTAACTTGGGTGTTTGATTTTCTGGGAAAAACAAGGACTTTTCTGCGTGTTCCAAGGTACCTGGAAGCATCTTGGCAGAAGTGGGCACTGCAGTGAACCCTGCGAGCTCTGGCGTTGCGAGGCCCTGCCACTGCTGGGTGGAGTCCTCTGCACGCTGTGGCTGGCGGGCAGCGAAGCTCCCTCTTGGCCAGTCTACGTGAGGTCCTTGTTTTCGTGGGAATTTCCTTAATTGCTAGCCGGGTTAGTAAAACCAAGATTATCCTGAATATCTGTTGGAATAGAGCATCTGCTCTTTACCTACACACAAACCAACTTGAAAAAACATTAGAAATTAAGCTTTTCATGACACCAGTAATACAAATTTATAATACCCAATGATCAATTATTGGCATGTATATAGTATAAAATTTTTTGAAGACTTGCAAATCTTAGGAATGAATTTAGCAAGAAATGAGCCAAATCTAAATAGATAAAACTTTCCCATAGGGCATAAAAGAAGCCTTCAGTGGAAATGGGTACCTCTTCCTTGGATAGGACACTGGAGTATTGTAAAAATGTCCATCTGCTCTAATTGATGTGTGAATCTGCTAAGGTATCCATCAAATAACAAAAATGACTCTTGTAAAAGAGGTTTTGTAGAACGATCCTAAAATTCAGGTAGAAAACTAAACATAGTGTTGAAGGGGAACTTATCCCTTCAGGTTCAGTAGTAAATTATTGACAGCGCTGCCCAGACCGGACCAAAGGATCGGCAAACAGCCCGGAGGACCAAGAGGTGGGGAGAAATAGACAGGGAAATTAGTTTATGATAAAGATGATACTTAAATCAGTGGATGATTAGCTAGTCACAGGTGAAAAATCAGACAAGATAAATTCAAAATGGAATAAAGATTCAGATGTCAAATAACAAAACCATTAAAGTCGGAGAAGACAGGCGAACTGCAGAGTTGAGCTTGGACGAGGGTGACTCTGCACCATGACCTCAGTCAGACCCAGGACCACAGAAGCCACTGAGGAAAGTGGTGACATTGACAAGATAGAGGCTTCCCTGTGGCAAAAAATACCCAAACAAGGTCCCGAGACAAAGGACAGGCTGGAAGGGTGTGGAAAGGCACCTTCACGGATCAGGAAAGGGCCTCCAGAGTGGGTGGCTCACTCCAGGGGTCGCCGGGCTCCCCTGCTCCCCACCACCCTGGGGTCGCTCCGAATGGACTTCAGAGTTTTCTAATCAAGAAAAGATTTGAGAACATGAGGCTGCTTCCTCTTGGGGTCCTTTGTGGAAGCCAGCGTGCTTGGCAAGTTGGCTGGCAGTTCCTGCCCCTGTGTGGCAGAGTAGCGGGGACCCAGATGAGCCCTCCTGGGGCATAAGGTGGCAGTGGACTCTGAGGAACCCGATAGCCCCCGTTCTCTGCCACGCAGGTCTGCCCAAGTCTTGGCTTTTGTGGGAGGGCGCAGGAGACAGTGCCTGCTGACTCGGCTCTGCCAAGGTCTACTTGAGAAACGCTGATATGGGGCCTCCCCTGTGGGCAGGGCTTCTACTGTGGGCAGGGCCTCCTGCGGCAGTTCACGGTGCCCACTCTCTTGGCACAAGGCGGTCCTACAGTGGTCAACCACCCGCTGGCACGAGTGGGGGCCTGGGACCTGGGGAAGTGCATGAGGAGGACGCTCAGTGGAGGAGGGGCTTCCCCATGTCAGCACTTGGGGCCTGAGCCTGGCCACCTCCCCAGTCAGGTTCTCACCTAGGCCGCCTGTGCCTGCCCCTGACCTCACCCCGGTGCTGGACAGCATCTTGCTGGTGGATGGAGTGGAAGGAGCTTGGTAGGGCTGAAGCAGCCTTATTCCACCCGTAACCCAGCGGGCGGACGCTCCTCCTGGGGCACCGGCTTCCTTCCTGCAGCCATGGTGCAGGAGGAAGGGGACTTGAGCTGGCCTGCTGTTAGGATGTGTCAGCTGCAAGCTGCAGGGGACACCCATGCACAGCCCAAGGACCCTGGGGCAGCACAGGCCTGTCGAACCTCCTAGAGCCCCTATTCCTCCCAACATGGTGTCCAGTGCCTGTGCCTGACCGAATTCCAGCACCAGCTGCCCAGGGTGGGAGCAGACCTCACAGGTCGAGGGCTCGGTCCCACCAGGTGGCCCCTATTTCCAATGTTCAGGAACTTTCTGCTCTGCCACAGCAAGGAAGCACTGGCAGACTCCCGCGTGGTCGCTGCTTGGCTGTTGTGATGGAGGGACTCTGGCCCTCCTGACTCTCAGTAACCACCGGCTCCTCAAGTGTTTCCACAGCCGGAACTGTGGCCTGGTGATGTCGCGCAGTGGTGAGGCTCAGGGTCGAAACCTCCATCACAGGAAGCCAACCAACAAAGACCAAAGGACACCGAGGATTCGAGTCCCGCAGATCCTTAGTGGCTTTATTTGCCATGCCCGAGTCGGGCAGGTGTTTGGACTGTAGTGATTTGGAATGCCCGCCCACCCCGGGGCAGTTACACCCTGCCAGGGACAAGGAGGTGAGGCCGGGTCTGCCTCAGTGGCCACAGGGCAGACTCTACAGCCTTCTCTGGCTGAGACCTGGAAAGTTCTCTTCTCGTATGATTGGGGTCCGTAAGGAATCTGAGGGCCGATGTAGAATCTTCTCAGTAACTTTATACACCAGTCGAGACCACATCTGCGGCCTTTGAAGGCAGGGAGAGGAGGGTCGGGGTGCCGTCCCTGAGTCCCTGCCCGGTTCTGGCTTGGTGTCTGCCCTGTCTCCTTCCCACCTTTGATGGTACCTGGGGCTGGGTGCTTGCTCCCCCCACCCCCACTCTGCTCAGCTGTCAAGGTCACCCGTGAGGTGACTCCTCCAGGGCTTCTTCCCAAGTCAGAAGACACGACTTTCTATCCTCTGTTTTTTTTTTTTAAAAAATAGTATTTTAGCTGTAGATGGACTTTGACTTATTTGTTTTTATGCCTCACACATTTGAGGCGAGTGCTCTGCCTCCGATCCCAGCCCAGCTCCAGCCCACAGGTGCGTTGTATGTATCTTTGCTCTAAGGTGCAGGCTGCAGAAGGCAGGGTCCCACGTGGTCCCCGCCACGTACAAGAGGGACGGCGGCATACAGCGGCTGCTGGGTGAATATTCACTGAACAGATAAATGAACTTCCATAGCATAAAAACTCTGTCCTTCTCTTGGGGGGTCCACAACAGCCTCTTCACACGGAAAACAGAGCTGTCCATCTCTTTGAGGCTGTTCATGTAGGTTGAGCGCGTGTCCTGAAGCCTTCGGGGGAACTGCCTGTGAGAAGTGAAGGCCTCGAAGGGCCAACCACGTGGTCACACAGCCACTGTCACTTCCAGAGCCTCAAATCATGTCACATGTTTCCTCTGGTTTGTGAAAGATGATACACTTGTCCCTTGTTATCCTGCAGGCATGGGTTCTAGGACCCCCTAAGGTCACCCAAGTCTGGGTGCTCAGGTCCCTGTGTGGAGTGAACGGCCTGTGTCTGCAGAGAACCTGCCCACGTCCCCTGTGACTGAGTGGCCTCTGAATCGTGACCTTGCTGTGTGAATGCCAAGGGCAGTTGTCACGCCACGCCATTCGGGAGTTATGTTGCGGGGAAGCCTCTGCACGTGCTCAGTACAGGCACCGTTTTATTTCGGATATTCGGGATCTGCAGCTGGTCAAATTCGTGGACTCAGAACCTGTGGAGGGAGGCACGGCTGTGTGGAGGGGGTGCATGGGCACCAGTGGTGATGTTCTGATGTCAAATGACGGAACAGGAAAGGGAAACTGAGGCCATTCTGCCTTGGCCAGTGTGGTGCTGGTGTGACAGCAGGCCCCGGACCCATCCATTGAACAGGGACCCAGCAGCTCTCAACTCAGGGGCCCGGGAAGTTCCACATCAGGACACCAGCAGGTCTGGGAATTCTGCCTTCAAAATGCACCCTGAATGCTTTGTCCCCTTAAGGAAATCCTTCCTTTTCACAGATGGAAGGTCCAAGAGGCAAAAGGGACTCAAATCACCCTCTTACAGAGGCATTAATCCCAGCAGTCAGGGTGGGACCCCAGGGCCTAATCTCCTCATGAAGTCCCCACCTCGTAGCTTTGCTGTCATCATGGCTGAATTTCAGCGTGAGTTTTGCAGGGGACAGACATTCAGACCACAGCACAGCCCTGGCTCTGAAGGCTGAAATGTACACCGCCACCCTCTGAGCCATTTCCCCCTGAACTTGTTCTGCTGGGGACCAGGAGCACTGGTCCAACGTGCCTCCCCCATCCCCGAGACCAGGCCTGCCACACCTGCTGGGTGATTGTCATTCTGTAGGAAAACCAAGCTGTTCCCTTGAGCAGTACCTGGGGCCACCTGCGTTCATTCCCTCTGGGTTTGCCCTCTTCCAGGGAGGTCCCCCTGAAGGATGCGAAGGAGTACGCCGAATCCATAGGTGCCATCGTGGTCGAGACCAGTGCGAAGAACGCCATTAACATCGAGGAGCTCTTTCAAGGAATCAGTAAGTACCTGAAACCGTGTTTTCAGCCGAGCTGGTGTTTGGTGCTGGAGGAGCCAGGATCCACCGTGTAGAGCTAGCTCCCAGGCAGCCCTTCGTTCTGTTGAGCGGATCTGATGCTCTGCAGATGAAGCCCACAGCTGGGCACCTGTCAGAACCCACATCTGCTGTGCCCCTCGGTTTTGTTTCCATAATTCTGTGCTTTGGCCTGTTCACCTACGTTTTGTGAATTCAAAGGAAGTAGCCCTGTTTCCAAAGTCAAATGCATATTAATTTAAAGGTATGTGTTGATCGCATTTTATGTTGGCACCTTTAGGAAACGAAACATGAAACAGAACCCTGAGGTCTAAAAGTTCCGGTGGCCGGCTAAACCCACTAATTCTAGGTGAACAAAATGAGGGAACCTTCTAGTCATTTCTTTTGCCTGTTCATTGTCCACAAAAAATAACATCTGCATCCCACATGACCTGAACCTGGGCGTGAGCAGAGAGTCACTCTGTAAAGATCTTCCTCAGCGGATGTGCTGGTTCCTGGGAGGGGACAGCCCACCTGGTCCCCTGCACTTCTCTTTCTTGTGATGGTTTCCCATGTTAACCTCTCCAAGAGCTGCTTCCCCGCTGACCTTCCCACTCACCTGTCTGCAGTGGCAGGTTCCCCTTCCTCAACTCTTGTTCCTGACATTCTGTTCTGGCTCCTGCCACAGAAGTACCTGCTGATAGGGGGGTGGGGACACTGAACTCTGGGCGCTGCCCTGGCCCGGGGGCAGTCAGCAGTGTGGGCAGGGAGGCTGGGCAAGGCCACACTTGGGAAAGGCTGGCACCTCTGTCCCGGTACCCTCCTTAGGAAAAGCTGTGCCCTGAACAGTTGGCAGCTGACCTCAAACATCTTGGCACCAGGAGTTCCAGAAGGGAAGCCCAGTGTCTGCCTTTCCTCCGAGGCCTGCTGTCTAAGGCACAGAAGGCCCTCGCCCTTGGACAGATGCCATTCCCGCTTACTGGTTTGGAACCATGACTTTGGCCTCTGAGAACTCACAGCAGGGAAGCTCCTGTTTGTTTACCTCAGCTGGACAGAGAACTTAGAGCTGGAGATGGGCTCTAAGCCCTGTCCCTTCCACCGTGTGAAGAGTGCCACCAAGCCACCCCTGCAGCCACCGCCTCCCCTCCCGACTTGAGAAGGATTCGGTCCTGCTGTTATTCCACACTCGGCAGAACAACGTCCAGCTCACTGGCCGCAGGGTTGAGCTCTGGTTAGCAGAGGCTGTGCTGGGGACCCCAGTTTTCATGCTCTGACTCCTGATGGGCAGTGGTGGTTCTCTGCACATGTGTCCCTCAGGGGGACATCTCAGAGTGTCCCCAAGAGCGAGCTGCTTCCTTCCTGGTGGCCTTAGGCTTTTCTGGCATATTCAGCTGTTGGCATTTTGCTTTCCGGGTGGTTCTACTGAATGACCTGCCGCTGGGACATTACACCGGTCATTTGCACAGTTATTATCTTTCCCCCAGCGTGAGCCC